AATAAATCAGCATTTAGCAATATGAAATTGAATTTTATTTTTATCATTACACAAATTCTATGTTGAGTATATAAGTTTATGCTACAGTGACAGCTACTATCATATCAACCAATGTATGTAAGCACTTTAACGTGCCTTAATTTTCCACTCAGCCCCTATTGTAATATTCAACATCAAAAATAGCCGAAAACGACTTTTGTCAATTTGAAAATTCATATTAGAACAGGACAAGGTTTCCGAGATTGAAATTTTATCAACATGTAGTACACTGATAAGTCTATAGAACAAAAAAAAGATGAAATGTGAGACTCTTTTCATTATCACACTTTTAAAGTGCTTAGTCTTGTTTTATATAAACTTCATGATTTTTTAAAACCACTTCCCTTTCATTTCAGGCGATGTATTGGTAAATAAAAATGTAGAAAAATTACTCACCATTATTCCAGTTTTTATTTCGGCTGAATATCTACAAAATTACCAGAGTTACAGACATTTATCCAAAATATTTTTTTTAGACTTAAAGAAAATTCTAAATGGCCGCTGAGAATAAAGTGAGTATACATTTTTTTTAACTATGGCGTTGAACTCAAATAAATGTGGATAACCACTGAAAAATGATAAAAATCACAAATGTCGAGCCACAAAATTAATTCAAATTGGGTGATTTCAAATGGATTGACCCTATACACAAATTACACATTTTTTCTTTTTGTTCTTTCCTACCTTGCCTTTTAGGCTATAAGGTTTTCCTGGGCCAGGAGGTGAAGGGGGGAATTTAAAATTCCCTGCAACAGTGGGACGCGAACTTGTACTTTTTAATCTTTCAACTTCATATCTGGTTGCCAGGCAACTGCTGTGTACAAGCATTAGCCCATTCAGCCACCCTGTCCTCATATACTCAAATTACTTGAAAATCCATTGCTATTCAAACATTTCACAAGAATTTTTATTTTGTTTCTCAAAGGGCCTGATGTCCTGCTTCCCCAACTTTGACTGGCAGACCTATGAATGTGGACCATATGAAAAGCTTAAAATAAAACTGAATCATTCCTTTTGTCATATGTTTGGGGTTCACAGGTTTTCTTATGCACCTTATTTCTTAATTCAAAGTCTCTTAATGGATAACCAGTTACAGACAACCTCCCTACAGACAATTTTTTTCTATTGGTAATAAATATATATATTATCCATAGCCAAGAAATATAGAATTTAGATCCACTAAGAGGCACAGGCAATCAAATTTTTGTCACAGAGAGATAAATTTCTCTGAACAAACACTTAACAATGGTGAAAAATAAGAAATCTTATGTAATGGTTTCATGATATGCTGTAAATACAAAGTAATTATAAAAAAACAAATATGTTGTTTCTACCATAACTAATTTAATTAAAGAATGTATTAATAAACTTTCACTCATTCAAATTAATAAACATTTTTCAATAGAGGCATGTGAGTAGTCAGCTATTAATCTTAGCGGACAATGTTCTGCAATGCACTTATCTGTTAGTATGCTGTTGTCCATTTTAGAGAGGCATGCTGCCAAACAGTGGCAAACTTTCTCATTGCTTTCAGCTACAACTACTTAAAATCAAATAATCTTTATAAATCTTTTATCTTCCTATTTAGTATTGTTCAATACAATCTATTAATTTCCATACCATCTTCCATAGAATTTTATATCTTAGCTAATCCTCCATGATTAATACTACCTTCTTATGGAAAATATAGTAGATGGCCTCCAGTATTTACTCCTTTATGTGACATTGAGTGAGGAAATGAGAAGAAAGATATAGGAATGTGAGGTTGTTCTATGAATTGTACTCAATTGTGCAGTGAACAAATTGTTCATTGAAAATTCTCTTATCGATTAACAATCAACGAAGAAGGAAGAAGCCTGGAAAAGGTGGCAGGTGGCAGCACGTGGAGAAAGATGAAGAAGAAAAAAAAGAGGGGACTTAAAGCCTTGAGCGGGAAGAGGAAGAAAGGAGATTACCCGAGAAGAGAAGCCTACTACACTGAAGATTAAGAATATCAAGCCTACAGTTATAACACTTTAATAGATTCCTTTATTACAGTTGTCAAAATAAATTGTTTTGTTATAAAGGAGTGAAACTTCCTTTTATTTAGTTGTTCTATAGGCCTCAAATTGAAGAATAACAAACCAGGTGAGTCAATTCATTTAAAGTGTGTTTACTCAGTCTCACTTTTCATATATATTCTTATTATTTCTTGTCACTCAGTGTCACAAAAGCATTAGGTTCCTGAATACCCAACGACAGTCCCTCAAAAAGTATATATCCAGTGCCAGGATTTTGTTTTAAGAAAATTAATTTCATTTGATATACTTCATATGTACAGTAATATATATAAGCATATGTACAGAGAACTATTTTTATAGACTTATGATATAGGCTAGTTTCTTAGTAGGAGATAGTTTTCCTAAATGAAGAAAAGAAACAATAATGCTGTCTGGAAAGCTCTGATGTGAGTAAGGAAATGAGATAAAAATAGTCAATAAATCATATAGCAAGCCAAATGTTAATTTTGTTGGGCATAAGATCTCACTGTAGATGGATTTCAAAAATAATCAAGTGTGTCCTACCGTAGACTTAAGCTACTGATATCCATTCTAGAGGAATAAAAAAACGATAAATATTAATCTTATTTATTAGCAATATAAGTGGTTATTAATTAATTAGATCATAACTGTTAATATTCTGTTCCCTGTAGATATAAAAAAATCCCAGTAGATCCTTTTCGGTTAAGATCAAGACTTTATTAAGAAAAAATGATTTAAATTTTAAGATTACCAAACTAAAATATTATAAAAATCCCCCCTAGCATTTATCATTCATTCATTAGTTACTATTCTCACCACATATTATAGAATATAATTTACAAAATGATTTATAAGTTGCTTTTCGAGGATGAACATTTCGATTACAAAATATTGTAACAATACTGAAACTAAAGCAATATTTAGTTAGATGCTATTTTCTTAACATTCCATACTAAAAAAAAAAACCCTTATATAATACAGAAGCATCACATTCACACCACATCTAAATAGGTTAAAGAATAAATATAAACTCTGGTAGTAAATAAACTGTGGTCAATTACAGTTTTCAACACCACAATAGCAGTAATAATAATTAAAGTTGAAAATATATTTGAGCAATACTAGATTTAAAAAAATATCTTTTCATTAATAATTGTGTTATAATCTGGGAGAACCTTTACATCATTAGATGGTGTATTAGGTTAGTAAGTAATAAAGGAAGCTGTTAGATTTTTTAAAATATTTTACTGCCAGTATGTTTATTCCTAAGGAACATACAGTCAGGATGTCCTACAAGTAAAGGGAAATATTTAAAGATATGATACTGAGCTAAAGTGCTTCAAAACGTTAAAATAAACCATTGTCCAACTCGAGACAGAAAAAGGGAAATTTAAGATTTGTGTTTTTGTTTAAGAGAAAGCGAAAACTAAAAAAATATTTAATTATGAAATATTTATAATTGGGGTGATGAAACTCCTCATGGCACAGGAAAGAGGACATCAATACTACTAACTGACTAGCTTATTATAATTAACTAACATCTTTAAAAAAAAAATGCTACAAATTCTTGAATTATTTTCAAGAAAATGTAAATATCAGGATAAGGGAGTTAGTCATATCAGGATAAGGGAGTTAGTCAAATCAGAAACATTTAGTTAGTCACTAAACACAACAGGGGTGACTAGAAGAGGGTTTCATGGCACAAGTTGTGCCATAAACATTTTTTAGGGGAGCGTATTTTGACTAGTTTTTGAAATTTCGACGGGGTTACGAATTTTTGGACTAAGGGACAATGGGAAAAACAGACCCGACCGCAGCAAGTGTAATTGTATATAATCTACAATTTTTATAATTCTACCTTAGCTTCTTCTGTTTTTAAAAGGTAAGCAATAAAATATCTTAGGAGGAGAGGGACAGGTAGGTTCTTGCACCATTGACCTTGGGGGGATGGGCACCCCTGAAACACAATAAGAATCAGTGACAAAAACACATTACTAAAATTGAGTATATGTAGTCCAGTCGGAAGGTGATAAAAAAAAAAATAAATGATCTGGAATATTCCATGACAATGAAAACAGAACTCAGTTTAACCGCTTATAAGAACCATTTAAATATTTTAGTTAGTTAAAAAAAATAAACTCTGCTCTTAATTTGAAGAAAATCTTGTCTAATTTGATATGAAGCAATTTTTTATTACTTAAATTAAATATTTTTTAGCTATTTCTCTTCCTATTCAACAAACAATGTAAGGCACTTAAAAAAAGAAGAAACCTTAAAAAAAAATTAATTTTTTTTTTAATCGAATCATGGTTTACAAAAATTTGTTTAAACCTCTTTAAGTGTGTTATCACTTTTAATATTCATTTTTATTTATGGAGCAGCCAGTATGTATTTAAACGTGTACATTTTCCTAAGTTTATAATTTAAATGATTAAATATAATCAATACCAAAAGTGGTATTTATGAAAGCTAGACATAAATCCAGAAGACCACACCTATGGTGTAGATAATCCAAGATAAATTCTAATATATGTAAATAGCATAATTTTGTAAAACATCAAAGATATTAATAAGGGTCTTGATTATGTTACTAATTAGTAAAAATAAAATGAATAATTCAGTATTTTCCATATGGATTTTATATGAATTCAGTAATACGGTATGAAAGTTGAATGGAAATTTAAACACAATTGTCAAATAACCAAAAACCATTAAAGGAATATACATTGGAATGAATAAATTGCGAAAACTAAGAAATAATGATTTATTGATATATCAAGAAATTTTAATTACATCAAAAAAAAAAAAAAAAAGATCCAACTCTAAGAACATTGTTAGATACAGAAAATTAAGAAGCCGAAAAATAAAATTCGTTAATCTCTTTGGTAATAATTTAACTTGAACAATACACGGAAGGCAAACATTGGATCACATGCTCACCTTCAAATCTTATCTTCTACTGTAGTTGAAATGTAAGAATACTTCAGGAATAACATCGCTTTACGATAATACTTAAGAAGCCAAACAAAATCATCGAAATTTATAATTCAAAGTTCAGAATCAACAACCTTACACAAACGTAAACAGCTGAGACTAAGAAAAAAAGAAATAAAAGAGGAAGGTAATGCAACGCAATGAAAATTTCAAGAATAACAAAGAGAGTCGAGGACAATGAAATTATAAAGATGACATAACCAAGTCAGACAGTTTAGTGCTAGAGTTTCTCCTTTAATTCTTTTCTCATAAGAGACAAATCTATATCATAATTACGGGTGTAATAATCCAGCAATTTATCGCCCTAAGGCCCCTTCATCATAATTTAAGAAAATATTTTGTGGTGGCAAGAACCATCTTAATTCGCGGGTTGCTCTAATTTTCCATTTCACTTAGACGGTAGTTTAAGGTAATCCATATGTAAACTGTCTCTATAAAATTTGTAGCCACCAATAAGGTTCTTTTCTGCCTTATCAGACGACAGTCAAGTTCCATATTACCACTTCTTCTCTAACTCTGTTATGCCAATTCCATACAATTGATCTTTCAATTGCTTTGAAATGGTTCATTCCCTAATTTTGATTCCATTGCTAGAATGGATACAGAAGATGCTCCTCCAGTGACTCATACAATGCATCCTGTATGTTCACTGATGTAAATAACGCCAATGCAACCGATGCGACGCTTTGTAGCGCGGAGGATGCAATAGAACTAGAATTTACAAACAAATTACATAGTTTTTATATGTTCTGTTGGCATGAGGGATATCAACATCCATAACAATGATAAAAAATGTAAGAACCGAAATGCGCTTTAAAGTTCGAGCGGTCCAACGACATTTCGACAACTCGTTTATTACGACTCTACATAAACTTGAATTAAATTGAAAGTGCATCAAAATTGTAATTGAACTCGGGTGTAATCGTTAATATAGTTGAAAAATCATTAGAACGCTACGAATTTGGAAGCGCATTTCGGTCCTTAATTTTATTATTGTTATGAATTTAGATGTCTTTCATACTAAGAGAATATATAAAAACCATATAATTTCTTCGAGAGATACAAAATTTCAGAGTCATGTCTAAAAAACTTTAAAAAGTTTGTGAATTTCGCTGTTATTTGAATATAGAAAATTTCGTTCGGTAACATTAATTTCAGATTCAGCATCCAAAAAAAAAAAAAAAACCCGAAGAGCAACCGAGTATTTCTATTTTTTTTTCCTCATTCAATTACCATTCAACCGCGATAATTTGATGACTTTGACGTTGTCAGTTTTGAAAAACGCAACCGAGTACATCGTCAAAGTGAATTCCCTTTTAGCGTCACATTCTTTACATAATATAAAAATTTCAGCCATCTGTTCTTCCGGTAAATTTCGCCGCTTTAATTTAAATTTCTGTATAGAAAGCAAGGGCTTTCAATCGACTGACCGAATTTTATCTAGAATTTGAAATGGTTACTAGCTTCAAGTCCTTCAGTTAAATAAAATGATCGGTAGCTCTTAGTCTAATACATTCATTACAAAACAAGAAACTGTTGGAATATTTTTTTATAGAGAGAAATCTTATAATATAGTGAACAAATTCACAATTTTCAGATAATTAAACTACTAGAGATTCGGTGCGAACTTACCAACCTTTATAAAAAAAAAATTATTAACAGAATAATAAGAACAAGAATTGGCAATGTTCTCATATCATCACAATCATGTTCCTCTTTACCGCGTATGCAGTGTGAAGTTGCTTCTTGTAGAGCTTGGACCAGGTGGACCTTTCCAGTACCAGCTCTCGTCTCCTGTTCCATTCTAAACCTCGCTTCTGGAATGCATCTCGCACGCCTTCTTTCCAGGAGATTCTGGGTCTTCTCTCGGTCTTCTATCCTGCACGCGAGTCTCATATGTCTTCCTTGCGACTCTGTTCCGCTCCATACGGAGAAGGTGCCCAAACCATCTCAACTTATGTTCTTCTATTATGGTTTCGACCGCTTTGGCGTCGAGATTGGCGCGGATTGTAGTGTTGCGTATTCTGTCTCATCAAGTCTTTTCCTCCACCTTTCGCAGGTATCGCATCTTTAGAGCCTGGATCTGGCTCCAATGTTTCGAAGTAAGTGTCCAGGACTCGGAAAAATACGTCAGTATAGGAAGGAATACTGATCTGTAAACCGTCATCTTCATTTCCTTGGTCACCTCTTTTCGGTTCAGGAAGCCTTTCCCAACCGGGCCGAACATTCTTCCAGCAGCTCCTATTCTCTGCCTTACCTCCTCGTCAATATATCCATTTTCATTGAGTTGAGCACCCAAGTATTTGAAACTTTCGACCTGATCCAAAATCTAACCATCGACCCTCAATACCCTCATAACCCTGTGAGGTTTTCTTCCAATGCGCATGCATTTTCTCTTCTCAGGGTTAATTTCCATATTGATTTTTCTTAAATCTTCCTTCAGGATATTAATGTTGTTCTGGAGGTCACGGTCATTCTGGACCAATATGACGAGGTCATTCGCAAACGCCAGCAGAGAGTATAGAGTAGACTGCATATCTCTGTGACCTAACTGAAAACTTCCCATCTTCTGTTTTGCTTTCCCCAACGCCAGATTAAGAACCAGTATGAAAAGAGGTGGGCTCAGGCTACAACCCTGTCGTATGCCCAGTGTTGTTTTGAACTCTTGAGAGGTATGGTTTCTTGTTCTAACAAGATTCCTCGTTTTTCCGTATAAACTGCTTACGGCCCTTATAAGTCCATTATTTACTCCTTTTTCAACTAGAGCCTCAATTATATCTTTTTTTCTAACCCGGTCAAAGGCTTTGCAGAGATCTACAAAGCACACTGAGAGTTGCTTTCCCCTCTCTACAATCTTCTCTGTGATTTGTAGTATAGTGAAAACTAGATCCTGTGTGCTTCTTTGACTCCTGAACCCATACTGATCCTCTCCAATCTTGGATTCTACAGTACTTCTAACCCTTGCCTCTAGGATTTTTGAGTATATTTTACTAAGGAGCGAAATACCTTATAATTGTTGCAGTCCCTGTTGTTTCCCTTCTTATATATATATATATATATATATTTGCAAGGTTATGTTCTCCTTAATCCTAAACTAGAATGTGAGCTTCCAGGATAGGGAGGGAGGAGGTGTTATTAGCTGTGTAATCTTTGCAATAGCCATAAATTCATTACAGCCCCAATCAGTAAAATAATTTTTATTCATTGATGTTGCAGTATTTTTTAAGATTCACTAATTCGGAGTGAATGAACAGGATTCTACAAAGTACGTTAATTAAATTTGACCATTGGGCTAGGAAGAATAATTAAAATTTTCTCTTCAGAAAACTAAATGTGTCCTCTTCTCGAGAAAACCTTACCTACAGTAACCTCAGAACTCACTCTAGGGAACAATATTCTCACTTTCACAAATGAAACTAAGATCCTGGGATTAATAATCAATGAAAAGTTAAATTGGATCACCCAAATAATGAACCTGAGAGAAGCAGGAAAAGACTAGACCTTCTAAAACTTCTTAAAAGAACATCCTGAGGAGCCAACAAAAAAAGCATGCTGATTTATAAGGATCTTATTCAATCAAAACTTGATTACGGGTGCACAGCTTTCCCTTCTGCCAAAACAACGTACCTATCATTCCTAGGCTGCATCCATCACATCAGAATCCCTGGTAACTGGTTCCTTATGAACATCTGCGATAATGAGTATATATGCTGAGTCTAGTGTTTCTCCTCTGATATTTAAACAATAGATCATCTCATCATATCTTACTAAACTGATTACGCAATAGGACAATCCAGCTTATCACTTTATTTTTCATCCAAAACATTGCTGACTTTACAATGATAAACCATGTTCACCTGCATCTCAAGCATTTCTTTAAAAAATGAAGTGGACTATATCTGCAGTTTTTGGAAAATCCACCTTGGAACTACCCCCCACCAGCTGTAAACCTAGAACTCCAACGCTTCAAAGGAAATCTATTTCAAAATATGTTGAAAAAAGAATTTTATGCTATAATTAATGAAACACCTACACATTCCTTATATTATTCATATAAATATTATAAAATATTTCAGTATTTCAAAAAAGATAAGACCAAACTGGTATTAAGAACAACTTAATTGTACATTTATATAAGTTTAATTAAAATCCTTATAGCTGTTTTCGAGAAAATCATAAAAATGTGTATCATCAGTCATGTAAAGTACCACTTACAGTAAGCTGATTTTAAGGGAAAAATTGGTGTGATATCATAGACAAATAAATACCTTAAATATGTAATATCAGATTTGTACTACTTTTCATTTTTGGAATAGACTGTTAACACTGACACACCATTTTGCCAGATATGTTTATTTGGACTTGAAAGACCTTGAAAAGTGTATTTCTGTTTAAAACAGAACTGAAAGTATATTTTCTTCAAAAAAAAAAATTTTTGATGTCAGAAGAAAACGCTTTGATAAAAATCAAAGTGTTTCAAATAACAAAGTAGATAAATAAGACCTGGTTTTAATTTTATTTAATTAATACAATAATAATCAATTCAGTTTTTATGAACATATTGATGATTTTAAAAGGATGAATGAATAAACCTTGTATCATGAAATTATGAGATGCAAAAATTTATTCTTCTGGAATGATATAATCATTAATTACATTGTATTTTATAATGACTTACACAACAAGCAATAATAATAAATAATCTTCTAAAGTGCACTTATAAATAAGCATAAAACATATTCAATTTCAATATTTTTGTTTATGGTTATACCATTTTTTACAAGACATATAAAACATTAATGTTTATTTAACGAACAATAAAAATTCAAGTATTAAAAATAAATTAGAGATTATAATTTTAACACAATTAGATTTAAATGCACCCAAAATAAATAGCGATTTTTTTCATTTATTTTGTTGATCCAAACAACAACTCTTTTAATGTATCATCATTTATACTGTCAAATAAAGAATCCTGCTGTACATCATTAGAATTATTAAAATTACCGTGAAGCACTTCAGTGGGATCAAAATTATTATTTGTCATAGCTTGTTGAGTGACAGTAATTGGAGAAAGAGATAATCTACCAAATCGCTCTGAGGGCGAAGACTGAGAGGGGCTTAAGATAAGAGAAAATATATCATTAGAATCCATCATCACTATATCACCATTAGTTTCCGTCTTCAAGTTATTCATTTTTTGAATACTTGCTTCAGGACAGTACTGTTCTTCAGAGAACTGACTAGTTAAACTTCTAATTATGTCATTCATTTCATATTCATCAGACAATATATTAGTGGAACTCTCCTCATTTGTTTCACTATTATTAATGATTTGGCAACCATCATTTTTTTCATTACTTATCTTTACATTATCATTTAATTTTTCTTCGATAATAGTTTTTGGAAGAGATTGCACCCCTTCATCATGAAGATCTGAATTAGTGTCCACTGAATCCATGAATACATCACTAATGTTCATTTCGAAATTAGTACATTGATTGTCAGAAGTTAAATTTTTTTCCATGGATTTGGATTTCAAATTTGATATCACATGCTTCTCAGAAGGTCGGGCACAATTACTCTGATTAATAATGAGATTGTTATTTTGTGATAGAACAATCGGTTGATAATATGTCTCTTCATTTGGACCTTTAACTAATAGATAAATCTGTGGCTTTTCAGAGCAATTTTTTTCAAGATCAGCAGTTTTGGAAAAGTGACATTCAGTTTTATTATTTTCTAAACCTGAAGAAGCAATACGATTGTTTTGTGGACTAGGTGAAATGTCAGATTTGAATGAAGTTGATTCTGAAGAAACCTTTGAGTGAGAAGGGAGCTTTTCGTCTATTTCATTTTGCCTTGGTTTTTTCTCTACTTCCACAGATGCCTGGTAAAATAAAGTAAAACAAAACACATTATTATTAAATAAAAATATTTTAGAACAGACTTCATTTATATAAATATATACACACAATTGGATATGTGTTGGTGTATACATATCATTTAATAAAAACATATTTAAAAATAAATAGAATCAAATTCTAATTTATAAAATTGCACAAAACCTTAATCATAGCAGCTTGTAGCCTTTCCACTAAGTAACCATTGGTTCTGACTACTACACCAGGAGGATTAGCAGAACACTTATGGGTTCTCTGGCTAATCTAGAATATAAAAAATAAATGGCATTTTGAAATATACAAAAATATATATAAAGAGGAAAGTAATATTTTCATTAAAAATATTTGTCAGATGCTTCTTAAGAAACATTAATAAACTAAAATTAAGAAGAGACCATCCAATCAAATCTGGAATATATTGAAAGATTTAGATATTTGTTTACTAAAATCTTAACTCTATGTTTTTCTACATCTTCTTCAAATCTATATCTCCTTTAAATGTAAGATTCTTGGACACTTTACTGTAGATTAGGGATATGAATTAACACCAACTAAAAAAAGTGGCACATCAGAAGGGTCATATCTCTATTTAACATCCAATTATAATTCAGAAACAATGTCCAAAAGATCTATTCAAGGATCTATCTATAGAATCTATCTATTGCTTGCCCCATCAGAAAATCCATGAACTTTAACAATTAGAAGCAGCAATAAATAAAGTAGAAATGTGGTTATTATATCACCTTGTCCAATAAATTACACGAATTGGATTTCAAACTCAGTTTAGTTACAAAGTTTAAAAAAAAAAAATTATTGAATACATTGCTTTTTGGCGATGCTGAAGAGCCTTCTTCACTCTTTGGAATAAATTTGAATAAATATAACCAGTAGATAAAAGTTTTTCATTATCAAACAGAAATACCACTTTCATACTTATTCTCAAATCAGAAATTTATATTTCAATAGATATACGTATAATTATAGAAATTGATAAAATGTATTCGAAACAAAAGTCTTGATGAAAGTCTGAAACATAGTATTAATTTTGATAAACTATAATTAATAAAATAAAAATGAATGTTAGAAATAACTAATGTTCAATAAAAACCTGAAAAATAACTACACTATATATTTCATATATAGATAAGTGAAAGTAAAAAATAATAGTAAAATAAAAATGGGAATCAGAAATGAAATGAAATGGAAAAACGATAGTACTTACTTTATAACGAAATCTTTTATTACAAGCAGTGCATTGGTATGGCATTGCACCGGTATGTATCCTCCTATGAACAAGATAAGAAACCCTTTGTCTGAATGCTTTACCTGAAAGTTAAATGTATAAAATTAAACTTCCTTTCCTAGATAAATGATTTAAAAATCAGATAAAGTTTTTTTTCTAAAAATAGCTTGTAATGTATGTCTGTTGTATATATTCTAACACAGTTCTCCAGTTTCAAAAATAGTCCTCGTCAGAAAATATTGAAATTGTTATGTTACAAAGTTATTCAGAAAGATAATTTTCATGGGAAATAGTAACAAGGATAGGGTACCATCAATCAACGGTTGTTATAGTTTTGAAAAAAAAAGATGCACCATGGAGCGAAAGAAAGGAACTGGGAGGAGAAAAAACAAATGAACAATTTGACTCCTTAGTGGTGCAATTTTTTTAGAATATCGTTTCAAATCTGACAAAGAAATATACAGAGATTTTGCAGATAGCAATTTGGCAAATAAAATAAAATTTTTACAGGGTAATGCAATTTCTATGACTGAGACTGTAAACCAATTGATCATACCAATCAAATTCCATACATTACTTTCAAGTAAGAGACCTATATTATGTTTTATCTATAGCATAATGTGTGCCTCAAATATTGATGGCTGTACATCCACAACAGTTACTTGTGTGGATCAGTAATTTATGCATTATGCATTAACAGTTAATAATTTATAGTTTAATCAACATTAAACAGGTAGTGAAACTAATTAAGAGTATCAATATCTAATTATACATTAGTAACTGAATCTTTAAGTGTCCTCACAGCCATAGATACCACCAAGAAGCAAGTAATAACTAACATAAGAAATTAAATAATAAGAGAACACATAGCTGAAAACTAAACTTATCCCAACCCAATACTGGATATTGTGAATTCTTGTAGTTTCCAAACTATGGCATGTGAGAACCACTGATCCAGCCTAATACAGTTTATTTTGATTATACTGCAAAATTTTCATAATGTAAATAAATTATACAAAATAATGGCATATTTTTATTTAATGGGCAATCAAGAAAAACAATAAGTGATATAAGTGAAACTGAAACATTTCAACCGTATTTAATGATATGAGAATTTCAGAAAGAATGAAATGACTAGGTCTTGACTCTCGGGACTTTGAAGATAAATCTAGTGTTAAGTCTAAAAACATTTGGAAGCTTCTATTACAACCTGAAACTTAACCAAGAAGCTCCATCAACTTGGCAGATTAGGAACTATCAAAATGAGTTCTTAAAAAATGCACTTTTCAAGATTAAAAAAAAAATAGCATTAACATTAATTGATTAAATTTTAATAAACAGGGAGAAAATACTAATAATTGAAAAAAAGGAAAGAGTTTACAATATAAAATAAAATATAAATACTCACATATAAATTAGATTTCTAATTTATAAACTTTTTTATATGTACATATAAATGAGAAAAGCTAAAGGGAAGATAGATTAAAAAAAAAAAAAATTATTTACTTACATTAGTTTGTTAGCATCGATTCAAAAAAATACACACACATGCACGCACACTGTAATATGTTGTGTGTTAGTCAGCACAAAATAAATGGTAAAATCTGTAAAATCATATTAATAATATAAGCATGTGATAAAATTATATTACATTTCAAATTAATATAGCAAATGAAAACACTAAGAGGGAGTAAATTCATAATAAATTAGAAAACAAATATAATAAAATAGAAGATTTATAATTTATCTTAAGTAGCACATTATAAGTAAATAGCTTTCACTAGAATCATAATCCTTATTGACCTTAATAAAGTTTCATTGCACAACTGACTACTGCTTTGCACACTAGCATGCATAAGACAATAATATCTAGTGTGTTTGCTCAAACGACTTTTCTATAAATTCCAGACAAATTTTAATCACTGTATAGAAACCAACATACTGTAACCTAGCTACTGGTACAATTTGGACAATTTATTTTAAAAATTTTTAGGGATTAAATTGCCTTTATAAATTGATGTTATTCAGACACAGGAGGTATTGAATGTTAAGATTCAAGATTTTAACTATCCTCATCCTTCTAGATTTTTCCAAGGTATTTGATACAGTTGAGCATAAAATCCTTCTTATCAAATTGCAAAATCTTCCTCTATCGAACAGTGTCCTTCGTTGGTTCAAATTCTTCCTTTCCGATCGATCCCAATATGTAGTCATCCCAGATCAACCTCCTTCAAAGACACTTCCCCTCTCCTGAGATGTCCCTCAGGGTTCTTCCTTATCTCCTACGCTGTTTGCTATTTACATTAATGACCTTCCCCTCCTGATCCATCACTCCCAATACCACATCTATGCTGGCGATTTCCAAATATACTTGTCTTTCTCCCCTTCTGCAATCCTAATAGGCTCCAATCACCTCCTTAAAACTGTTCCTACATGATAATCCCATTAAATTCTATCCCACCATCATAATCTTTGATCAAACCCTTTCCTGGAAAAACCATGTATCCAATATCTCCCGACGTACCTTTTCCACCCTAAAACACTTAAATGGCCTGCGACACCTTTTTCCTTTTGAAATCCGTAGACTCCTGGTCACCTCCTTAATATTTCCCCACTATTGCTGCACGGTATATGGGTGAGTCTCTGGAAATCTCGAGGCGAAACTAAAACGCTTGATAAATTGCTTTGTACAATTCATCTTCCGGATCCCAAGAGACGCCCCTGTTTCCTGTTTCTATGAAGAGCTGAAATGGCTTTATACTTCCTACCGCTGTAAGTATTTCCTGGCATCCTTCCTCTTCCAAGTAATTCACTCCTGCCGTCCTTCATACATTTCTGAGCTCCTTCAATTTAAATCCTCAGTCCACTTCCACAATACCCGTTCCCGGTCTTCAGATTTATATATAATGGCCCACCGAACCGCTGTTTTTGATAAATCTTTTATTATTCGATCCTCAACCCTATGGAACTCCATCCTCCCCACATCCGTCAATCCAAAACTCTTCCTATCTTTAAATCCCGTCTGTTTAATAATTTTTTATCCAACCAGTCCTCATAAAATTGTAAATAGCTACTACTGTAAATATGTATATAAATTATTAGATCGTTTTTCATTATTTTTACTTTATGTTTATTTTCAATTTTTTATTATTAACTGATTTAAATTAGAAAGTAACATATAATTTTTTTATTATTTTGACTATTTAATCAAACTATATACTTGTTTATGTATCTCTGAGGCTCCTTAGCCCACATCTTTGTTTCTCTGTATTATTCTAAAGGGACTCATCCCAGAATAAATAAAGCATTATTAAAAAAAAAAAGGATTCATTGAAAACCAGAGAATTTTGAACCAATTATAATACTTCCCTTACCTTTATTACCCTTTAATTTTCTAGTAGTAGAAAATTAAAAAAAGTTTAATTAAAACTTATTGTGGACCTGTCCATGGCTCAAGAATACAAGATGCCTCTTCAAAATTTTCTTATTAGCTAACCATTTTAATTTTTTTTTTCTGTTATAAAAGATATACTTCCGTTTAAATGGTAGATATCCAATATATGCTTAAGTAGAGAAAATAAAATCATAACTAGAGACTGGATTTTCATACAGTAAAAAAATTCAAAATGTACAAAATCGTGTAGTAAAAACCAAAAATATTTAAAATTGTGTAATTAACACCATAAAACCTATAAAAATCATGTATTTAGTTTAATTTATTATATTAATAAATTAATGTGGCCTACTTCCCAATATGGTGGTCCCCGCGGGAAGTTAGACCATTACCCTCTTAATTAGGGGAGGTCTACAGGTATAATACTTGTAAGAACTGGCTATAAAAAAAAATTATATTAATCAGAGACTGGATTTCCGTGTTATTGTAAATTTGACAGATTTGACCAGACAGTTTGACCAGATTTTGATGCCTCAATATAATAAATTAAACGAAATAGACAATTTTTGGATTTTTTAGGTGTAAATTACACAATATAAAAAAAAATTAGGTTTTTACTACACGATTTTGATCATTTTGAGTTTTTTACTGCACGACAATCCAGTTTCTAATCATAACAGAAAAAATATATACATATTGTCTGCTATCAGTGAAGATTGAATTTTATGTAATTTGTTGAAGTTTTAATAATTTGTAATTGTGTTTGGTAACAAAATCTGATGTATGGAATCTCCAAACCATTTAAATAAATAAAAAAATTGCTAGTTGATACAGATGCTATAGATTCAGACCTTCATATAGTGACCAAACTTCTAATCAGTTAAATTAGCATTATGAAATAACTGGAAAACCAACATCAAAACTATTCCACATTAAAAAATTCAGGGTAGGATTGTCACTTGTATGTTCCTTCAGTGTGAGCTGTCATTAGAAAGTGAGGGATCTCACGAACCCGAGAAGGGTAGAGTAGTTACCTAAGAATCCAGAATGTGATGTTCCTTGGAAAAAGGAATATGTTGTGAGTCCAAACTCAAATATGATGAGCTTATAACTGTTGCATGTACCTTACCTAACTCAATCACCTCAGTCTCCTATTCATAAATATAATTTCCATGCACTTGCTAAGGACACAAAATTGTTAGGACATAGTTGAAAGATTCCTAAGTCTTCAGTCACTAAAATCATGGAGTCTACAAGAGTCTCTTAGATTCCTTCATTTTTCTCTACCTTAAATAAGATTTCCTAACCAAATAAGGAAGAGAGAAAAAAAAATTAATACAAATCTTTGTAAGAATATTCAAAAATATTTAATAATGTATTTACAGAGACCTAGACTCTGATAATGGAAATTATCAGTCAAACCAAGCTTTATTATGGTTCAAATATTAGAACATCTCAATGTCAATCTACGGCAAAAAACATTTGAGACCCTGGATTATGTCTAATTTACGGTGAGAAGCTAGGGAGGAAATAAAAGAGAGTTGGGAAAAATTCATTAATAAATTCTGTGATAAGATTAATGGATTGGTGAAGGCCTAATGTACATAACGAGATACAAAATTATCAATCATATTCATTTAATTGATTTATATGTATTGGAAGTTACAATGAAAATTACTGAAATAATTTCAATAAAATCATTATTTTAGTCGATTATTATGGAGCAAGAAAATCCATCATAGCCAATAACTATGTCTTATTTATTGTTTCTATTTATGTGTTAGTTACTTGAGAATTTAAATAACATTTTCTTAATTCTAGAACAATGTTTCGAGCTGAAATTGACATTTTCTTGTACATTTTATTTTTAGATATAAATAAAATATCCAATCCTAAACAGAATAAATTGATTATTAGTTTATCAAGAGTGTCAAGAATGAGAAAAACTAATAGAAAATACTAGACAATTTGTTGAAAGATTCGAAAATGCATATTGTAAGCACAGCACAGACTATAAAAAAATAAAATAAAATTGTTTCAGGATTCTTTTTTAAGCTAAATTTTTATATCGATGGCAAAGTTTTGATTTTTATCATTTTCTTTAATAATACTTATTTTCCATTTTTGTAAAATTCTCTGACTTTTCCAGGTTATCCCTGTTGGCAGACATCCAATAAAATACAGGTACACAATTAATTAATCAACTTCTTACCAATTCAGGCATCATCAGGACAGAAAAAAAAAACAAGTTCACATACAAGCAGACCAAATTCACAAAAGACAGTAATTTAGAAACTCAAAGCTTTGGATTTGTAATTGGGTTGCAATAATGTCCTTACAAAATTAATTAATGGCTTTTCTAAATTGTTTGTTGACTGGGAGAATAATCATTAATTTTTTTAGTAAAAAGTAAATACAGTTTTTCCTTATTTCAAACTTGAACATTTACGACTATTTACTAAGAATATTTACCACATAGTTTTGACTTTTCAGGGTCAATTCACAGCTATTTCTAGGATGGTCTTCCTATATAACACTCCTAGTTTAATCCATTACATTTTAATATTCATCTATCATAAATTTCATCTACATATTAAATTACGCTAAAATAATAGAAATATCTTTACTAGCAGTGTCAGCGATGAGACCATATGATACTACTTATGATTTTTTTATTTTAGCAATAATTAAATACATAGGCAAAATTTATAATGGACTAATATCAAAATTTACTGGATTACATTAGGAGATATACAAGTAATGAAGACCACACTAGAATATTAGTATAGTGCACTGATCTGAAGAAAGGACAATGTTAACCTTGAAAATTAAAAAAAAAAAATATACATACATATGTATCTATGCCATAAACATTATTTTTTAAGAAAGAAACAAGAGTTTTGATAATAATACAAAATTACCACAAGTTTCACAAGAAAATGGCTTCTCTCCACTATGGATCCTTTCATGGTTATGAAGTGTGGATAATTCCTTAAACAGACGTCCACACTGAGCACAGCAATAAGGTTTTTCATCATTATGATACAACAAATGCTTATGATAAGACTGTTGAAATGTAAAAGATTTACTGCAAGTATTGCATTTGTATGGTGTTTCTCCTAAAATAAAAAATCGTTAGATTAAATAAAAAAGAACTTGGTATACTTAAAATCCATACCACATAAACATACATAATAAATATTATTATAGAACAAAAACGCTGCAAATTATTACACAATGGTTTATTATTTCCAAACAATTTCACATTCAAAGTTATTTCCAACATTACTTTTCATGTAAATTTAAGAAAACTAAATAAAAAGGGATTCCTAATATTGGCTCATAAAATTTTCTTTTTTATCATTGATAATTTACTTAAAAAATAGACAACATTGCTACAGTTGATGTAAAACTTTCAAAAAATCAAAAACAAAACAAAAGATATGAACACTGTAGTAGAACATATAAAACACAAAAACAAAACCATATCCTTGCTTCAAATTGTCCGATTTCAATGAATTTTGTTTTGTTTTTTAGTAAAATTCATAAATTTTTAAATAATCATTGACAATTAATAATAATGACTAGTAACCATAATGACCAAATAACCATTACACCATTGACAAAAAAGTGTATACTTATTCAGTTATTAGGAAATGTAATTTTACCACTCCTCATAATTTTTTCCCGGCTTCTTTTCGTTAAAGCACCTCATATAGATAAATTTAAAGGTCATCAGGGAGAAGACTTTAGCCAAGTTTTATTGAAATTGATGCATTTGTTTAGGTGCTAGAGTCTATACCAACACAGGTTTTTTGGTCACCATCTTGGAAGGAAAGGGTGGATAGTAATAAGGTAGGAGGATCATCCTCGGGTGACCTCTAATTTTAATTCTAAATTTGAAAAAAATCAGTTCAGTAGTCTCAGAGAAAAGCCATTATTCGTCCTTGAGTTTAATCAATATATCTTTCTGTTAAAACCAATCCTTATTTTAAAAAATGAATACCTGTATGCAATCTCCGATGCTTCTTAAGAAAATACTTGGTTGTGAAAGTCTTCGAACAAATTGTACACTGCCATTGTTTTTCATCATGAGCTTTCATATGCTGTGACAAATGTATTTCCTAAACAGATGCATTAAAAACTTATAGAACATATTTTTATTGTATGTATATAAATATATAAAGAATAGAGGTTTAACTCTGAGATATATTTTTCTCATAATAATTACAAATGCAGCATTTTGTATTATTATAAAACTAGTCCTGGTTAAATTGGCCTGACCAAATTGTACACTGCCATTGTTTTTCATCATGAGCTTTCATATGCTGTGACAAATGTATTTCCTAAACAGATACATTAAAAACTTATAGAACATATTTTTATTGTATGTATATAAATATATAAAGAATAGAGGTTTAACTCTGAGATATATTTTTCTCATAATTATTACAAATGCAGCATTTTGTATTATTATAAAACTAGTCCTGGTTAAATTGGCCTGAGCGAATAGTTTACAAATATATTGATCAGAAAACAATTGACAATAATATTATAGATATAAGCTAATGCAATATATTATGAAATTGAGAAATAATTTTCTGGTTCTCAGTCGAATCACATTAGTTCATTCATAATAATAAATAAAAACATGTGTACATTACTATGGCTGTATTTTTGCAAATAATTTCCAATTTCAATGTTTTTTTTTTTTTCTTTTGTAGGGAACTTAATAATCTTTCAAATAATCATGGGTACAATTAACAAAAAAATGTATACTTTTTTGAGTTATTCGCAAATAGTTTCTTTTCTTACATAACCTTTTTTCCTGAAATTTTACATCTGAACTGTCATTTATAGAACAAGATTTTTATTTTCATCACAAGCAATGGCCCACAGGACTTTGGTGGAGGTCTCAATGCAGCCCATGGGCCAAAAAGTTTGGAGACCCCTGGTATAGATTATGGTAAAATGAAAATAAATATTTCTGTACATGTGCTTAAGAAAATAATTATAATAGAGGTAAATAACAAAATAGATGGTCTCTTTTATTACTACCCAATCTAAATATTGCATCTAATGATAAAAAGATTCTCGGCCTATAAAATTAAGATAAAAGATTCAATTAAGATGAGATATAAAAAAAAAGTTATGAACAATTCTGTGTTTTTATGGAAGTTATCTTGTCATTTATCATAGCAAGGAAAGATGAACTTTTCTCAAAAAACATGAAAACCTTGTAATTGCGGCAGAAATGAAATGCTTGTGTAAAAAACATTTAATTGGACCGTCTATAATCATACATTAAAAAATCATACCTTTTTAAAAAACTTTCCACAAATATTACATGCAGGTTTGGTATGGGGTTGCTTTGAATTATCACTTTCAGAATTTCCTTAAAAAAATAAAAAAATATATTGAACTTAAAAGAAAAGAAAAACACAATGTAGATATGTAAAACTTAGATGGTTCGTAATATACATGTTAAAAGATAAAATAATTTAAAACAGTCAACTCTCTCTAGCTCAAATTTGTCAATACCTTAAGTGTTTTGTGGTTGAAACATATAACTCTGAAACTTGAAAACAATTAACACTAACGTTTTCCGAAAAGTGTATTATTTTGTATATGTATAACATAGTTTCATAAAAAAATTAGTGTTTTAATTTAACACCTAGTTACTTTCATGGTACTGGTTTACTACTTCAGAATGAATCGATAAAATGTCAATGAGTCTAAGACTTTAATAACTTGAATTTGCTTATTTAAGAAATAGATACCTTAAATTACTTGACTTATTTCTGAAATTCGAGTCACTGAGAGTTGACTGTAATAAAATTAAACTAATACATAACGAAACCATTTGTAATGAAATGAAATTTGTGAAAGAATTTAGTATAAATCTCTGTATTTTGGAAACATACTTGTAATTTATTGAACATGGTTAAACCTAAGTAAATACTACTAAATTTATTTTTTGGGTGAAACTATAGGATATGAGGTCCAGTCCTTCCATTTCCCTCTCTACCCACACAACACAACAAAACTTGAACTCACTGATGATTACAGTGACCTACCAGTTCCTTTCTCTTTATGCATCATTTCTGAAAATACAACTTAACCTCACTAATCTGTCATTTGTATCGACCTCTTTTTGTGATAGCACCTCATTCTATCACTCATTAATGTCAATGCCTGTTCTTCATACTGCTATTCCTTCCCCATCTTTACTTTTATAATAGAAATTGCGAGTTCCATATCTGGGCCAAAGAGCATCCACCTCACTTTTATAGGGTTTATTATCATCCCCCTCTTTTGGAGCTCCCAACCATTCATTGACAGCCATCTGAAGCCTTTCTTGGGTGTCAGCAATCAGGACCATGTCATCCGCATATAGGAGAGCTTGTGCCAGCACAGGAATTAAATTCCAGTACCCCACTGGTACTCTGGGTGTCCTTCACTTACAGATCTTCCATACTTAATCCATGCATATATGAATAGTAGTAGGCTTAGGTAATCATCTTCCTTGACGCCTCTATAAAACCTAAATGGCTCCGATTCAGATCCATCAAGCCCCACTATTCCCAAGAGATCCTGGTATAATGATTTGATTACGCTGATGAGATTGGATGGCATCTGTTCTTCCTGTAGAGCATTCCAAATCTCTTGGCAAGGAATCAAATCAAATGCAGTCTAAGAATCCATACGAAGAATTATATTATTAAATGAACTTGAACACTTCAAGAGGGTCCGAATTTTGATGTTGATGACAAGACATTTCATAAGTTGTAATGGTTTTTTCTTTAATCTTTTCCAACTGAGATAAGTCTTGATACATCAACAATTGACAAATGATAAACAAAGAAATAGTACTCTTGCTGGCTCTAGGTTCTTATGACAGGAGCATTTAGGATTCTACTTATTATCTTATACATCTTAAGATGGCTTACTAAGGATACCTAACTATTTTATTTTTATGAATTAATTTACTGTTTGATTTTATTTTCCCTATGTTGGCCCAAGACTTCCATTGAAGTCCTATACTGCAATATTTGATATTTACAAATTTATTTCAAAATTCAGAGGGAAAAACTCAAGTTGTAAGAAAACAGTTTGGGTACAGATTTGTACAGAAATAAAAATATTATTGTATTGTTTCAAAAGCTGATTTATATAAGTCATTTAATAATATACTTTTTAAGTTTTTTTTTTTTTGTAGTTCTTGTGTACAGTTTTAAGGTCGGTTATTCTTTCCATAAAAGTTTTTATTTTTAAACACTATCACTAGCAATTGACAACTGACACTAGCAACTGGACAATGTAGAGTCCATCTAAGATAAGTATGGTGGTGGGTAGAGGGGAAGAGATGTGTGCAGTGACAAAATGTATTCCTGTCGATCTCCCATTCTTTTATCATCACTCATTTGTACTTCTACAATTTTTTTTACTAGTTGAAATTTCTTTCATCATTTCTTTAACAATTGAAATCGAACATCAAAAACTGCATTCCGAGCATGAGGTGATTGCCAGGCGGAGGAGGGGAGGTGGAACTTGAGAGGGAAAGGCTGAGCGAGCTTCCTTCTCCTACAGGCATACTCATCCTAGACACACTATACTAAAGACCCCATCTCTAGTCAATTTACATTTCATTAAGTAATCTAAATTAAAGTAAGATCTCATGATCATACTATAAATTAAATTCTGAGAATACCCGAATATCGACGAAGTGTTCACAGCATAATGTCCCTTTAATTTTATATCAATTTAGGACTTTCATTTACTCCTGACTCATTGTTATCAGTTAACATTGGGAATTTAATGGCATCGCTGCTTTCAACTTCTACTCACTAAAAATGTATTAACGGGTCTATTTCAAATCAGGTTAGGACCTTAACAGATAATAAGTTTGGTAATCTCAGTCTTCTTTCAGACATACTCAGCCATTCTCAGGATCACATTTATTGTGTAATCATGAGATCTTGTACCTCCCTTAATGTGGAGCAACACTTGTAAAGTAGAACTCCAAAAAGTGGGGGTATGTAAAATTAAGGTCAAAATTGTTTCATGGAGGCCTAGAAATGACTAATGAAGAATTTCCCTCTCATAAAAGGCATGCAAAGTACTAGAAATATAGAAACTCAATGATGGGAGGCAACTCTTTCATTATCTGTCAGATTTTATTTGATAGGAAGGAAGACTAAGACCATATCCAATAGACATACCCTATCAGGTTTGCCTTAGAGATTATATTAGTTGATGACTTACCAAATCCTCCAGCATGTGCCACTCTTCGATGTATCATCAAACTGCTTCTTAAATTGAAAGTACGTGGACATAAATTACAAAGAAGCAATTTTTGTTTATTTTCGACATCAGAATCAACTTTCTTGTGAATTAACTGCTTGTGCATTGCAAGTATAGTTTTGTTAGGGAAGGTGTAAGGACACAATTCACAATTTAAACAATCTTTCTTAATTAAATCATTTTTTTTCGCAAGAGATTCATGGTTTTCTTCAGGATCAATTTTGTTTGGAGAGTGACTGTCTTTTTTCATATCAGTTTCATTAACATCATCACACAAGGTAGAGAAATCTCCTTTGGTTAATAAATCTTTGCAAGATTCAAATTCTCTTTCGGGAAAGTTACAGCCTGTTTGCTTCTCAGATTCTGATAAAACACTAGGAGTCGAAGGCCAGGAATTTATTGATTCGACATCTGGACTCTTTTGATCAAAAACATTACCAGTCTCAATTTGATCTTTTTCAAATACTTGACTGTATTTCCTCTTTTGAACTTTCTCTGTCATACTTGTCTGAACAGTAGAAGTAGTAATATTAGTATTCGTAATATAATTTTGAGTATTAATGGTAACATTCTTCAATGTTGTACCCATTCCCTCAGTGGAAATAGTAAATAACTGACCACTATCAGAACGAAAACATATCAGAGATGTATCAGGAATGTTCAAAGATTTTTGTAATGAATTTTGGTTATTCATCTCCATTTTCCATTCTCGTTTGTCCACTGAATTTAAATCAGAATCTTGATTAGCATTGTGTTGAAGTTTAATTAAACTGTTACTCAAATTAGGCGAGTTTAAAGGTTCTGCTTCAAAAGAATTATTATTACATGGTATACTTCTAGATGAAACTAAATTAGCATTATTGGACTGGCAAAGCAATACTGAATCTCTTATGTGTTCCATTCCATATTTATTGAGGGAATGAGAGAATAGATGTATAGTGAATTTGTCCAGACCAACAACAACATAATTACAAATAGGACAACAAAGTTTTCGAGTTGTTACATTGATCAAAGCTGAACACAATGAATCTGATGAATTAAATCCTGGTTGGCAACAAAGAGGGCATGTAACCATTGGCAGTGTCATATCTGTTACATGTAATAAAATATCCTTCAGCACTCTTTAAATAATAACAAAAACATTCTTACCTCAAAAGGTAGTAAGTGATATGACAGTATTATGTTTCAATATGCAATCCTAAAAATAGCACTAAACATTTCAGCATATTTCATAAATTCACATATCTTGTTATTTTAAAAATGCATAATCTATTTCAGAGAAATAACAACAACCATTCTGTTACTCTTTGGTAGATGCTGCATGATTATTTTTATAAATCTTCCCAAAATCTTTCGTAAAAGAAAAGACAGTTATAAAATGATGACAATATTATCAATCTTTTTATTGATTTCATAACATTCCCATCGATCATGACTCTCTGTACTTTTTATCAGCCACCTAGTATAACCTGCAATTGGAATGCATAAGAAAACAATGATAAAACCTGAGAATAGGAAGTTGGTTATCGAATAGAGACATAGAGAGCATCACACATATTCGAACGATAGTAAAATAATATTTCTTTTCTAGGTATGAAATTAAACAAGAACAATTTTTTTAAAAATGAAAACTATAATTAATAGCTGCCCTTACAGGATACTTAACAGGAGTTATGCGTCGAACAGACAAATTACTAATTCAATAAAAAAATGTATATGTATATATAGATACACCATACATGTATATAAACAGTGGCGTAATTAAGAACATAAGAAGCGCCCTGGAGTAGTCACCCCCACATAATCATGCTTGTTACACCATTGAACACAAATAAAGTACATAGAATTGTCTTCTCGCTGTTATTCTGCATAGTGTATACAAGAGCTTTTGTTCTCCCTAATTTGGAACAGTAGGAAATCTCATGTTGCATGATCTAGAGACGACGTGCAAGTTCTAAGGCCCGTCCGTGTTTCTTTAAAATTATTACTTGCGTTAAAGAGTTATTTTGGAGATTTATTCATTGAAATTTGTTTATTAAGTGCGCCTATAACTATAGTTGAAATCTTGTGCCGATTTGATTATATTTAATGAAGTTATACGCAAAAGAACATCGCGTGGTGCACAACGTAGCGCAAAATCGGTCTGTTTTTAGTAGATTTTGTGGCCGTAGAAAGAGAGAGAGGGTTTATGCGTTGGTATAGTGAAAGGCCAAATCAGAGGAGTATACTGTTTAAATTTGGACTAAATTAGATTTGCTTTTAAGGAGAAATTAGTGCTTGTATGGCCCACGTGGCCGATAGGTCATTATTTACGTGAGTTGTTTTTAGAAGATTAAAGGAGTTGAGTATTAGCAGTGATCACGTCAACATCGGAATGCGAGTCTCGCATTAGCTGTTGTAGTGATAGGACCTCGCTGTGCCGCTCTTAAGGGCTGCAATAATAATCAATAACCCAAATCTTGATGTAATGAGTCTTGAGCAGTTAACTAAGGCGGACAGAGTAGCATGCTACATCAGATGGGGCAGCATCTCCTTCACCATTGCTTCCGTATAGTTACCCATCGGAAGTGATAAAGGACAGAGTGTATCCGTCATGGAAGCGATCACTGGAAGATATAGGAATGTGATCATCTGTTCGGACACCAATGGCCTGGGGTTCCAGTCGAACAGACCGAAGAGGTGTCAAATTTGGAGAATTGATAGCAAGAGGCCAACTAGTAGTGGATAATGACCCGTCTGCCACTCCAACGTTCTTTGGACCACGGGGGACAGAGCTGGATAGATGTTATGATGCTGATAGGATATATTGTCGACTGGACCCTCATATCGGAAATTAGCTCCGACCACAACGCAATCGCATTTGACCTGATTCAAGATATTATTGACCTGATGGTCTCCTTGTTTGAAACTTTTCAATCCGAAAATAACTCCGTCTAAATGTGCTCCCTCAAAAATTCAAAATCCCGTAAAAATGTGCCCTCCCTCAATAATTATGATTAACTTAAGCCATAAAACTTCCTTGTGGGCACCCCTGCACAGGCGGATCTACAGGAGGGAGGCTTTCGGGCTGAAGTCTCCCCCTAAAACGGTAAAATATAACCATGTTTTATAGAAAAAATATTAAAACTATCTCTTAAAGTATTATTGTTCATGTAATTACATTTAATAGGACTTCAAGAATCACTTAAACACCATTTCATATAGGTAGTTAATTTCTTTCTTTTTTTTTTTTCAAATCAATTATCGTTATATATTTGAAAAAAAAATCTTTCGGGCTGAAGTCCCTCTCCTAAATTAAATCCTGGATTCGCTAGTTCACTCTTGTATATAAATATGAACAGTTTATAGGGAAGAGAATATCCATATCATAGCATTACTGACCTTACTTGGCAGACTTTTTTAAATTTATAACAAGTGGGGAGTGCCCCTGAAGATTGGTTGGCGCCCCGGAGCAATTGCCCCAGTTGCGCCGCCCTAAGGCCGGCACTGTATTTTGTTAAATAAAGATTACGAGCTGTTTAATAACGAAATTTAACTTCTTCTGAATAATATCGGAATTTAAACAGAAAGTTATAATTGTTCTAGCTTTTGAATGGTTAAAGATAGATAGTAAAATGAAAAGAAAAAGTTAGGGAGTCAAATAATGATAAAAATCTGAGGCAAATACAATTTTTTTTCGAAGTTAGTGTAATACAAGGGCGGATACCTCGGAAGTTATTGAAGATAAAGAGAAAATGAATAAAACCATTTCTGTTGAAATTTTTGTCAGCTTTAATTATACATACACCATTATTATCGCATAGTTTCAATGCTATGAGCAAAAAACCGAAAAAAGTGAACTTTTTGAATCGTAAATTACAATTTTCTACTTGAAATCCACAGTTATGAGGTAACTAACTATTATTTCACGTCTTAAAACAGTAAATACTATAACTTTAAAGTTTTCTACCTTCATTAGGGCCTCTATCTATCTTCACCTGGTCGCTATTTTGTATTCCAGCAGCTATAAGTTGGCAGACCTGCATTCTTCTCATCAGGCCTTAAGATATGGTCAATTTAAGGTACTATTTGGCTGGCGCGGTCGACGACAGCGACTGCTATTCCCCCCTGCCAACCGCTGTTGGCTTACCTATTTCGCTGAAACTGCTCACTGGGGTTGTTATAACCTGCCTATAACCTTCGAACATTTCGCTGTATCTTTGAAGATAAAAAGATAGACATAATATAAGAATAAAAATGAACTTCCTATAATAATGAACATCTCTGACTACCGCTTTTTTATTTGAGTTGGAAAAAGAAGAGAAAATGTTGTTCATAAAGAGAAGGAATATCAGTATTTCGATGTGATGCTCATCATCAAAGTTCCTCTGATATTACATATTATTAGTTTGAAAAATAATAGTAATTAATATATAATTGGTTAGTAATAAATATCATATATTTGTAATTAAATCTCAGCAAGCGATGTTTTATAGTTTTATCAATAGTAATCAGTAAATCACCACTTTAATTAAAAAATACAAATCATTTTTTCAATGGGTGGTTTTTAGTATTTACCTGACGATAAAATTTGTTGGATTCTTTAATTTATTTAATATCGTTTGGATTTAGGTATATTTGTATTTCGCTGTAAAATATTGCTGGTGGAATAAATAAATAAATAATCTTGTTACTTCAACCTCAAAAAAATAATTTACTATTGCATTGTTTCAGTTTTAAACAATATTTGTTATAATTTTGCCAGAATTGAAAGAAACATAGGAAATAAAACGTATCGACGGGACTGTTATCATCAAAACAATGCTCCGATATGATAACATAACCTACAACCGCCGAACCGCCAGCAGCTCCACTGCTTCAAGAGGAGTCAGATATGAGCAGCTTAGATATGACGTCATACCTAAACTGCCGAGCAGCGCCAGCGAAATAGGTTCCTTTCTATTCCACTAAAGCAGTGGTCAACCGCGAGCAGTCGCGGTCGGGGACCGCGCCAGCGAAATAGTACCTTTAAAAGGACAAAACTTAGTAAGAAATAAGAAACCTTATTTTACCAGGGGCTCCTGGACTATTAGTTTTTATTTAAAACCAAAAAAATGGTTTGAAACAAGAGAAGTTTACTTCTAATAAAATCCTCATGTAAACATATTTATATGAGGATGTTTTAGAAGAAATAAAGTTCAACTAAAAAATTAACGATTTTTCACTTATGTATTGATGATTAAGAGCTGCTCAAAAGCTAGGAAAATTTTTAATTTTTGAGTTATGATGGTCTTTTTCTAAATGACCCATATAATGTTATGTTAAATATTAAAATTATATTATACTAGTTTGCTTGGGCGAAGAATTCACACAGTATATTGGTTAGTTATCAAATGGTAATATGGAAATAAGTAAATGCACTGTATTATAAGAAGGGAAATTTATTTTTACTTTCACTTTCTAATATGTAAAATGCTTAGATAGCTATAAGAATGTCTTTTTATAAAGTAATTTTGTTTTGTTTATTTGAAATAATTAAACATCTCACTCACATTATTTGTAGTAATATAAAAAGGATAAGCCATACTTCTGTATTTTTAATAAACAACTCTGGTAATAATTGTTTTAGATTTATTATGTAATTTTTAATTTTACTGCCCCGAGTATGAAAATACCGATTTCTACTCAATGTTGGGTATGTGGTAAGTGAATATTGTGTGAGGTGGGAAACATATCATTTTTTTTTTTTTTTTTTGAGGAAATAAATAGTCTAGAGTGGCAGTTACAAAAAATTTAAAATAGTGAAAACTACTTTATTCCAAGACATTTCCACATAACTTTGCAGGTCTTCACTAGGGTTATGGTCAGGATAAATTTCTGTGCAAAATCAGTCATAAGTTTTTTTCCCGGATTATGTCTTTTCTCAATATTTTACTATGGTCAATCATTAAGTATTCAACATTTATTTTCGCAATAGAGTACTTTGGTTGATTAGTGAAAATAATAAACCTAAATATATTAATACATTTCAATACTCTGTATCTATAATAAAAACAGCTAAAATTAATGATTTTTTTTTGTTTTGCAGATAAAATCTTCAAAACATTTGTCCCATCTCGATCCACTATCCCAGTTTTTAAGCCTGGTGAAATATTTATATCAACTTTCTTTATTTGATATAAACAGAGAGTACTATTTGCTAAGTTGCATGAAATTTTGAATACAATATGGTATGAACTTATATTTAGTACAAACCGATTTCAAGCCTTAGTAAAATAATATATGTGGGTATCAGGTGGGATCTGAAGAATCTAAAAACCTTAAATTATTGTTATAGGTTTTTTTTTTTTTTTTTTTTTTTTGGTTGGCTCTACTGACCTGAACCAGCCTTCTCCACCTCTGCTTATCCTGGGCAACTGCTTTCCAGTTTGCAGCCTGAAGCTCAGCCGTATCTTTGTTTATCCTATCTATCCATCTGGTTTGTGGCCTTCTAGGTGGTCTCTTGCCTACTACTCTGGCATTCATTGTCCTGTAAAGGCGTCCTGATGGATTGCTATGAGCTACATGGCCTGCCCATCTTAATCTCCTTGCCTTCATGTCAATTATTATAGGGATAATCAACCATAAATATATTTTTTTGAGTTATGGCCAAATAAATTTCTCATTCATTAGGAACATCTTTTTTTTTACATTTTTCTGGAGAATGTGCTTATTTTTCAGATAAAGAGGGAGAAAATAATCTTAAAAATGATACCTGTCATTGGATTGACTGATGAAACTTTAGCATATCGAAAAAAAAAAAAAAAACTTATAGTCAGTTACTTCCAAAAGTCATTTGATATCGTTAAAGAACTAAGAGTTTTGATGATTTTTCTTTATGTGCAATAAGAAAATTGTGAGCTTGTTGCTATGTTTGATATTTAAAATGATTTGTTTCATTTGAGTGCAATTATGTGCTTTTTAAAAATAATAAATAAGGCCGTATTTCACAAAAACGGTCTTAACAGTTCAGCTCCATCAAAAATGTACTTAGTGGCTTCTTGAAAAACCAATGATAATTAACTCATTTCTGGCACTATAAAACCAATTCCAAGCCTTAGTGAAATAGTAAATTTGGGAATTAGTATTAAAAGATAATAGCTTTGAGGTAATAGAGCCGGATGCTATCCATGCATAAATTTATAATACACAATATAATTTTGGGATAACTTATTATTTGAAATTATTGTGTTTATCATAACTTTATTGAAATTAAAATTCTTGATTTTTAAGAATAGAATATATTACAAAGAAAATGAAAATGTGCATGCTTCTGTTACTACACAAATCTAATTAAATAATTAATTTTTATTTCTAATAAAATCTATACAATACTTTAAATTATTGGAATTAGCCTTCCATCACAAAATAGTTATCTAAATAATATAATCTTTACTCAATATACGAATGAATTAATTACATCAATTTAATACAGATTTAAACAATAGTTTTTTAAAATTATAAATAACAACAGTATATACATAAATAGATTTGATATAGGAAATAATACATAAAAATAAATTTTATCCAGATAACTAAAACCATTTTAAGAAATATTGTGGAAAATCAGAGTGATTTAAGAATTCCAACTATTCTAAGAGTAAACCAGAACTCCAATTGAGAAGTAAAGTATACAATAATCTCTATAAATGCAAAGTTATTATTATTCTTAAAAACAATTCATTTGAGAGTATCATAATATATATATACATAAATTATACACAAATAATGACAGGTTTAATCAACTATTTTTAATACGTAAATTATGTTTCATAGTGAAAATGATTTTAAATAGACAAGGGTACATTGAAAAATTAAATATTAATAATAAAATTTGCAACCACCAATATTCTATATTTAGATATTCTAAGATCTGTCCAAAAATTAAATTTATAGACAACATAAACAAGATAAATTAACAATGGAGGTATCGCTGGCTGCAGAACTAATTGTAGAAGTTGGTTTATAGGAGCTATCAGTAATCAAGAAAAGACAAAACATTAACTTATATGTGTATTTTACTTTATTGACTACACTCCCTCCACTTCACCAACAACCAACTTCTACAGGAATAACTGTACTCTAGATCTTACATGCAAAAAAGAAAATAATAAACATACACATACGGTACCCTTCAAAATTCCAATCAGAGCAAAGAACGCGAAAAATCTTACAGAAATAATAAAGACAAAGTGATGAATGTATATACTTAAAACTAACCAATTTTTAGAAAATTTAAACTTATTACCATCAGGCCATATTCTAAATGTTCAAAATTTAAAAGATAATAAAAACTAACAAATTACAAAAATCTACAAAACAAAAATTACATTCAATAGGAATTATTTGCAGTTACCATACCTAATGGCCTTGAAATAATAAGTTAACAGCAATAAATGAAGTTTTGAAAAATAATTTAGGCAATTTTATCACCCATTTTAACCTTAGATATCATGTAAATCCCGACAATTAACCCAAATAAACCAATAGCACTCCCAAAAATTTCAACAATTAAAATTTTCACAAAGAGAGCAGGATTAGCAGCATCAGCTAATGCTGCACCAGAGCCAACAATTCCAACAGCAATACCACAGCACAGATTGACAAGACCCACGTTAAGTCCTGCACCAAACATCAAGTAACCAGAAAGCCAGTTATTTTCCCTTATTGTTTCATCCTTCATAGCTTTATCATATGAAAATTTTTCAACTGAGCCAGATAGCACTATAGCAGTAATTAGACCATAAATAGCAACAGCTTCACAAAAAATTACAGATATTAAATTTTTGGTCTTTATACGTGGCGCTTTAACACCTCCCCCAACAATGCTTACACCAGTAGTGTGTATTCCAAGAGCTGCTCCTACAACTGATAAAGAAACAGCCAGTCCAATTCCCAGACTGATCCATAAGAATGGAGAAATAACTCCCAACAACCATCCAATGCTTAAAGTTTCACCTTCTTGCAAAATAATCGTGTAGTACAGTGAAATTAAAACCACTGCCGCAACTGCCGACCCTGTAACTGTCTTCAATAATAAATACCTCATTTTGCCACTTCCAAAATGAAAAACCGTGGACTAGAAACCTTTTCCCCAGGCTACACTAGACAGAAACAGCCCAGCCCACTTTTAAAAACAGCTGAATGTCAATGCCTTTATAAATAGTGTCAGTAACTTATCAGCAACTCTATGGAAATTAAAAATGCAGTAAGATTTTAGTTAAAAAAATTTAAAAGGCACTAACACGAAATTAAAAAAAATAAATAAAATATAAATCTCATTTTTCTCTAAAATATTTAGAAAGCATTGATCGATAAAAGTACTTTGTGTATGGTAGCCATTAAGGTATATTTGTTGTTGGGTTAAGTTAAGATTTTACATCTTTTCTGTTATTTTCAGGAACTTTTTTCTATTTTAAATATTTATTATGGGTAGGAAAAAGAAGAAGCAGTCTAAACCATGGTGCTGGTATCCTTTTTTTTGGTTTAAATATTATTTATATGATCTTATTGTATACTTTATCTATTGAAAATTTTGTAATTTTGATAAACTAGAATTTCCTTAGCCGTCATAGGTATTGCAATCGTGAATTTGATGATGAAAAAATTTTAATTCAACACCAGAAAGCTAAACATTTTAAGTGTCACATTTGTCATAAAAAGTTATATACAGGACCTGGTCTTTCGATACATTGCATGCAGGTAAATTTTAAAGTTTTATGTAGTTATCATAAAGATTTTAGTGGTTGTTCATGGTCAATGTAAAAGTACTGTTTAATCATCTTAGCAATGAGTAATGAAATACTAATATTCATATCTTATAAGTAATTTTTTTTTATATCTTGTTACCAGAGGTATATATTTTATTTAAGGATATATCTTTAACCAACGATTCTTGTTTAAGAACTTATTTTGAATATGTTGTAGGTCCATAAAGAAGCTATTGATAAGGTTCCCAATTCCATGCCTACCAGGTCGAATATTGAAATAGAAATCTATGGTATGGAAGGTATACCTCCAGAAGATTTAAAGGAGCATGAAAAACAAAAACAAGGAAAACACGGTAATGTTTTTGTTATCCTAGTTTTTCTTCTTTATTTTTTAGGTTGTAAAGCTATTTTAGTATATAATATTATTTGAAAGCTGATTAATTTAATTGGTTAATTTCTGGGTAATTCTGAAGTTTCAACTCTATAGCAGATGGCCCAAGATCATATTGATACTCTTACATTTATGTCATAAATAGCTGATTAAATCTGAATATTGATGGACGCTATCTAGTATGTAAGGTCAAGTATTTTTTTATGTTCATCACTTTTTCTGAGAAAACATATAAATATTTTCACCATTTCTATTGATTATTATCATGAGATTCTCTGTAATTTTATAAAACTAATTTTTAAAATGTTCATCTAATCAATCATTCTATTCTTTCTCGGAAATGAATATTACAATAGCTAACAATCTTGGTTCTGAATAATATTAATCACTATCCCCTGTCTTAATTTGGTTTATCAATTACAATAACTATGTTGTAACAACAATTTAGTTTAGATTTCATGCATTTTTATGGAGTTGTGAGCAACAGAGAACAAACATGTTTACATTTTTCTGATAGTATGATAACAACTTGTTATATCACAAGAAATTGAACTTGAGAAAAATTGAATTTAACAATTCAATCATATTCTCAATCGTTATTAAAAGAAACAAAATAGTTAATGATTCAGATTATTACTCCTTTATTAGTATTAAAAAAAATATCTATGTATTGTAAACTGATATAACATCTGTCATTGGATTTGAATATGGTTGTTAATACTTGTCAACTGTTGGCTTTAAGTACAATCTGATTGATGTGATCTTGATCCATCTGCCACACAGGAGTGGGATTTTAGAAGAATTACCCTTATCAGAATGAAACCTAGGATGTTATCTATATATGCTCTTCAGCGGTTTCTGTAATATTGTTAAATTTACAATATTAAACTTTCAGTCGATTTTGAAGTTATATGATTGAATACTGATGAAAATCTATTTCTGGTGATATTACTATCACCATTAATGAAGTGATGATCTTATTGGATTATATTCAGTTTTGATTTAACAGGAGTCAGGTCATGGCAAAGTTCAATGGAATTGAGATATTTTCAAGCTTTGTGACTTCCAGAGGTCAGACACGAATGATACTAATTTTATGATTAAGACTAAGTAGCATGATTATTTCTTATCAGTTTTTCATTAGAATTTTAGCAAAGCTCTTAATATTAAAGAATTCTAAGGTTATAATCAGTATGTGAGGGACATCTTATCAAAATTGATTTATATATTCCTTAATTTTTTCTCTGTATACTTTGCCTTAAGTAATTATTTTAATTTTTTTTTATTATCTCATATATCGTCTCACCTAATGATATATTAACTTACCTTGTACTAAAATTTTTTTTTCATATTAAGTGTATTTTTTTTCTCTAATAATGTTTTTATGATAGAAACTTTATTCACAAACATTGAAAATAAAATTGATAATTTGTGAATTGAAATTAATGAGAATTGGGTACTACTTCACTAGTGTTGTCAGGCGCATATGGCTGGTGTACTGGTATCACATTGATCACATAGTACATGGAGTGGTAAAAGTAGCCTACTCTATCTGATTACACTACTAGTTCTTGTCTGTTTCTAATTGTTGGACTGACCAGAACATCAGATATTACATAAGAGCATATACCAATTGCTACAGGATTTGGTAGAGTTAAGTTTGGATTAAAAAAAAAGTATATTGGAGTGAAATCTGATAGTATTTTAGGATTTGAGTAACAATTATTGTAAGTAGTAAAACATATTTGTTAACTTCTGTTTTTCCACCCAGGTTAATAAAAATACACTGAATTTATAGATTTTGGTTATTATTTTTCTTTACCTATGATAATTTTATTCATTAGTTTTTTTAATATTTAAAAAAATCATCAAAACCGGATCATTATTAGCAAAAAATAGTAATGTAAACATTTTTTTGTTTATTATTATGAATGAACTGTGATTCGACTGAGAAAAAGAAAATGATTTCATCTTATCTCATTATACGTTGCATTAAGTTAGTATACATTATATTCTAAATTTTTCACTGACCAATATACTATACGAATTATTCGCATGGTCCAACTAGTATCTATTATTAGGAAAAAGATAACATGGTAGGAACAAAAATTTCCCTTCTTTATGATGGGTAATTTATTTATAAGGCCTGGCGATCAGTTTACTTTATGATACACACAGCTATTTTTGGAATTCAAGATAAGTGAAATCAATGTGATCCTGGTCCACTCGTCAATCTGTGCATGACTTGTGAAATATTACTAAAAATTGATCTTGTATATATTTATACTATGAATTTTTTCCATCAGTAAATTCTCAACAATTAAGTTTTATTTTACTTTCATAAACTTACCTTACTGTTACTGGTACTGGTGGGGGAAACTTGTTTGTCTGGTGGGTTTCTTCCATTGTTATTACGTTACTCTTTGATATAGTTTTGTGCAAGATTTAGGTTTTATTGCTGTCTCATTTTGTGCTTTTCCATTTTATAATTTTGATCACGTGCCCACAATCAATAATTTCTGTAATCTTGACTTTCAAAATAAAATGATTTTAAAACGACCGTAATGTTATTGAATTAATAAAATAGGGTAGCAAATCACCAAATGTATTTAGTTTTTCCTTTTCTTCTCACAGATGCAATAAAATGGCTATATCATTTGTAGCAATTTTTATTTGATGATAATAAGGAATAGTAATCTATTCCCATGCTTTGAATATTTTACAATCTTTTAATGTAAATGAAATAACAACCCTGTAGTCATAAAGTTAAAGGATGTCTTCTTTACATTATAATGACGAATATTTATTCTTAAAGTATCTATCTTTCTGATCCAGCTGTTTTGTAGAAAACTATCTAATTAAACATAACAAAGGTTTATCATTTATATTTATGATTGTGTTAGCATTTCTTGAGGCAGAATTTCCTATCCTCAAATTTTTGCGAGAGCTAGGTCTTGAGGGTCAATTAGTTAAGTAAGTTCTGTATATGAATCATTGTTTTATTAATTATACATTTAATTTTTCTTTCACCTCATTTTTTTATAATATAAAATAATTGCATCATTTGTATTTCTCTATGATCTATATTTTCTTTTTACTTTTCCTATTCAACTATTTATTATTGCTTAATCAATAAATTAACGTTTTGGATGGAGTATGAGTTTAGGGATGGGCATTTAGGAAACAGCATTCTTTTCAGCTAAATTTAATTTGTGATGTGTAATTATTGATAAATATGGTTATTCATATAATTGACTGGTGTAGTGTTTTTTAATGTATTGATATTTTTATAATGAAGTAAATTAGTAATTTGTTAGCTGATAAAAAATGTCAGAAATCTATTAATTTATAAAATGATGATTTTTTTTATTGTATGTATTTATGTTTACTTCTTTCTTTTTTTTTTATTTTTTCTGAGAATCTGAAATCTATTTAAAGATAGATGTAAGGTTTTTGTATTTTTTTTATGATACTATTACTTACTGCTTTAAAGCTAATTCTGGATGGATGTAAGTCATAGTTCTTATTCATCATGATGGAAACGATGACTTGGCATGCCTTTGAAGCAAAAATACTACCCAACAAGTTAATTGTAGCTCCTGGAATCCATACATTATCGTATGTACTTTTTAAAAACAGGAATTAAATTTAACTTAAAAACTATTTGCCTTCATTCCATGCTTAAGTTTTCATTGGCATTGTTTAACATAACTTATCTTGTCTCAATAGGACGTCCTGGTTCTCCTAGCAGTGGGGAAGATGAACCACTACCAAAAAAAAAATCAGAAGGTTTAATGGGACCTCAGCCAGGTATGCCTCAGAATATGGTTAACCCAGGTTTTCCATCCATTTCACCAATGATGGGACCAATGGGCCCAATACCACCATTTATGCCACCTGGGTAAGTACTTACATTTCATATTTGATTAATGTATTATATTAGTCGAATTTTTTGCCATTTTTTATTGATGAATTTCCTTTATTTATTAGTTTCTTATAGCCAATGATTAACCAGTATTAAACTAATTTAAAAGTTAAAAAAAAAAATTTATTAATTTAATATTGCTGCTTGGTAATAGTAGTAAAATTAATGTTTGTAGATAAAACAGTTTATACTTTCCATTTTTCATGTATTTGAAGGCTTTACTATGTATATTCACTTAGGCTGAAGCTTTGTTATTTATTTATTGTTAAAATTATTTGTTTTAACACTTTTATTTACTATAGATGAGATCCGTAAAATTAGTACAAGATCAATTTCACCATTACATTTATTGAAAAATTACCATAAACAATTATTGAAAAATAGAAAAAAAAATTAGCATTACTTCAGTAACATTCAAAAATCAAAAACCAAAACAAAGGATATATCCTTTGCAGTAGAACATATAACAAAAATCTAGAGACCATATCTTTGCTTCTAATTGTCCGATTTTAACGATTTTTTTTTATTTTATTTTTTTTATGAAACGTAAAATCTCAAATTTTGAGAGGGAGTTAAGTTTTTGAATTTTTTGTTTGATTACAATGGTTCATTATTGAAAATAATAAACAAGAAATAAACAATAAACGACAACTCAGGTGGTTAGACCATGTTTAGAGAGATTAGTGAAAAAAATTATGTCCATTGTGTTGTTTTCTATCGTCTACTTCCTCTTACATATACATAAAAATATTTTCATATGCCTATATCTCAAAACTGCATGTTTGATAAAAACAAAACTTGGAGGAAAGCTATTGATTGATGAAGTAGATAAGCTTGTAAAAAATAATATTTAAGGATGTATAAATGTATTTTACTTGGTGCTACTATATTTTGAACATAGCTTGTTCAAGTTGACCCAAAGTGGAGGAAATTTGGAGTGGAATGGTGTAAAAATTGTTGTTCTAGTATCAGTTTTATTAAGTTCCATTTAAAAAACTTGAATTAACTTTAAAATTATTGTAACTAATTATTAATAAAATAGTTGGTGTGAAATCTGGTAAACATATGTAAGGAGGTCACAATATTTTTAAACTTAATGAGAGTTGCTATCTAGATGATTCAACATTGATTTTTATCTAATCCCATCCATTTCTTGGATGTGCGCGTTTTCTTGACAAGACTGTACTTCAAATACAGCTTTTATCTTTGATATTTTTCGAACAACAAATTATAAATCTTGAATTATGGGTTATATATAAATAAAAGAAATGGGGAAGAAGCTATATTAACTCTACTTAGTTAATTTTTTTTGTAACTTTTTAACCTCTTACGTGTATTCTCTACAAGCTCAGGGCTTGTATCATTTCAGTTCCTCAAAATGTGTCATTTTGTATGATAATTTTAAGTCAATCAGGTGATACAAACTGTCTTAAATAAAATTTCATTTATGAATAATTTTTTTTATTTGAACAAGAGTCTCCTACTGAGTTTGAGTTAACTAGGACTACTTTAGTCTGATATATATCATCTCACTTTTTGCTCTGCAGTTTTTCATATGATTTTATTTTGTATCTTTAGGATGGGAATGATGGGCAGTGGAGCACCTGTACCTTCAGCCATACCTGCTCCACATTTGCAAAATAAGCCACTTTTCCCAAGTGCTGCTGCCATTGTAAGTTTTTCATTATTATCATTAAAAGTGTTTTAGTGTGTTCAGATCATGTTTATTTTTTTTACTTATTATTAATAAGAATTTTTAGACTTGGTGTTACATTAGGGTGTTAATGTGAAAAAAATTAATTTTATAGGTAATATTCTTGAATATACCTTTTTTATTTGTAATATAATACATGTAAGGGAATTTATATAAATATGGATGTAAATTGATTGTAGAAGCCAATAAATTTCTTTTAATAGCATACATCCACCATCCTTTGTTAAACTTCAGTCTAACTGGGAGTTGAGGAATATGTGACTTACCGTTTAAGAGTTATTTAGGGTATAAATAAAATAAAAGGAGTCATCCATGTGGTTTTGTAGAGTAAGCTTCAGTATGCCCTAAAATATATTGTGGCCAGGAGAACATGCTGTAATACAGAGCTGATAGAAACCCAAGAGATTACATGTATATAAAACAAATAAACTTAGTGAAAGCTACCCTGAATTATTATGTTAGGGTGACATTTTTTTTATGATTTGTTTATTTAGAAGAACATATATTTAATTTTATATTGGTATTTACCTTACACATTTAAATTTACAATTCACTATAGCTCAACTTACTTGGTACTATATTCACTATAAAAAAGAAATAGTTCCTTGATGTCCTGTATTCCTGAAAACAATATTGACTTCTCAATAAATGACATGATTGCTAAATCTTGAATAGCTGCTATGAAGAGCAAATATTTAGATATTTTCACGAAGACTATTGTTAACAAAACTGTCAGTATTATTATGAATGAGCTAGTTGGCCGTAGTTATAAGTGCAGTAAAATTTTGGTTCATATAGAGATATTAGGTTATTAAGCTCTTGATTTAGTATACAATATTTTGCATTATTACAAAGTTAACTTCTAATAATAGTTGTTATTATGTATTTATTCATGAAATTAATCTTTTTTCTGTGTTAGGCATCGACAACAAATCAGACTAATAATAATGATACAAAAACTACTACGACTGCTGCTATTGGACCTGTAAAGCCCACATTTCCTGCTTATAGCAGGTAAGAATATTTTGTAAATCCTAGATTCCTTAGTTTTTCATAATTATCATGCCCATTGTATTATTTCTATATTGCTGATACAAACTGGCAAAGCATTGGATTTAAAATTTTTTATAGACAGGTTTCGACAAAGAAAGTTAATTAAACTAAAACAAACCTAATTTTGATAAATCCTTATCCTTTTACTGTACCCTTGTCAAGTAGAGTAAGTAGAGCGAGAACCTATGCTTATTTATTTACTACTTGTGGCCCTTAGAGTTTCTTTTTATTTTTTCAATAATAATTAGTCGAAGTTGATATTTAAAAAAATGAATAATTATGTTTTCACATTTACTTAATGTAATTTGCGGATGGGTTGGAATTTATCAATGTGATACTTTGTCACTCATACTGAAATGCAACAGCTATGCTTAAGTATGATAAACTAAAAGTATCATTTACTTTTAATTCCAGATTGGGACAATTTTGATTTAGCTATCAATCTTTTAGGCTAACAACCGTTTAATTTAAGGAAAGGACTTAAGTCTAATAATCGTTTTAAATTCGTGATAATCCTCATCTGAACACATTGCTTTAGTCAATTGGTTGAAAGACGTTTAAGGAATGAAATTTTGAATTAAAGTGGAAAATATTGAAGTTTCATTTAATGAGAAGACTGACATTTGAAATGTTGATGCGATGTGCAGTATGTGTCCCTAAAAGAGAATTCCTCATGGGTGACCATGTACCCGTTTACATTTTGAAAACTGACAGTTTCAAAGTTATAAAATTAGTCGAATGAAATAGTATTTGCCTATAAAATTTTTTTTTTAAAAAGTTGTAGATTTCTTTACGGACTTTTATGTTTTTTGGGGTGCTGAATTTGTATTTCCCCCCAAAAAAGTTTCATTTGGCATTCCGAGATATACACTAAAACCTGAAATTTTTGCACTTTCAATTGTTTAAATACTGCAAAAATACAATATACAAACTTTATGTAAATTAAAATTACCACATATGTTATATTTTTTTCTTTCTCTAATGTAGGACCAATGGCTCAGGGGTTTAAGGAAGTTAACTATTTGTGTATTTCACATGAAATAGTCTATTTGTGTATTATAGATGCTACAATCAATTTGAACTGTGTTGGTCTTTTCCACCTTTTGATTTTTCTAATTTAACGATATTTGTAAAATTACTAGAAGGCATACATAAAGCAATAAATCTTTATTATATTCTGCAGTTTCGAATGACATAAACATTTGTTATAACATTAAAATATCAGGGACCGAAGTATACCTCTATATATAAGTCCTTAGTGGTATTTCGCCTACTTTATAAATTTAATAATATATAAAGGACTGGGAATAAATAACAGCTTAGAAAATCACTTATTTTTCTCTTCTTATATTAGTTTCTTACATTAGTTTTCACAAATTATATTTATAATTTTTTGTCACTTTCCATTAATTTCTATATTTGATATTGTTTTTTCTAAAATTTTCCACTTTCCAACGATATATTATATGTATATCTTTTGACTAGTATTTCCGGAAATTCATTTTCGACCCAAACATAAACATTTTCTCCATTTTTCAATTATCAAATTCTTTCAAAAGTTATATTTAGCATTTTTTCATAACTCTAAAATAATGAAAGACAATTATTTCTTCTATTCACTTATCCTAATTTTGGTGTCTTGTGGTTTTATTTATATAAGATATTCATGTAAGAGTTTCATATTTATGAAAGATAATTAACTGTAAAAATGAACCAAATTGTTGGTACTTTAGAGGAAGACCTGTGGAACGTTCCAGCATTTAAGCTCTGTAAAGTGACATCAGTGGTGATAAGACCTAAATGAGATTAAATACCACTTAATTGTACATTAATATACCGAGTTTAATCAAAATCGTTAGAGCTGTTTTTGAGGAAATTGTAAAACTGTGGATAACCGTTGATATAAAGTACTATTTCCGGTTAGTCGATTTTAACGAAAAAGTTGCTGTCACATCCAAGGCATATACCTATCTTAAATACATAATATCAGTTTCGTACAAATTTTCGTTTTTGAGCTAGACTGATCACATACATACACACACACAGACCATTTTGCGGAACTTGGTTATTTAGACTCAGAGGATCTCAAAACGCGTATTTCCGTTGAAAACTCAGATTCGAAAATTTTCTCGATTGCAATACTTTTCCTTAATATTTATAACATATATAGGTAAGTGAAAGTAAAAAGGCTGTATTGCCATGGTTTTAGTTGGCCAGGAATGTTTTAGACTAATTCCAAAATTCAAGTTTCTAAAATTAAAATAAATTTATTTTGTTTTCAATTCCTATGAAAATAGAGTAATACCCATATTAAAAAAATGTTACTTTGCCATGTTGTAGGTCTGCCCAATTTTTCGCTGACAAAATTTTAAATTGTACTTTCGTTGATCAAAATTTTTATATTTTATTCTTGTTACTTTTTTTTATCCAAGCGTATGAAAATATTATTATTTCTAATGCACACCAAAAATAAAACATGTTGCTATGCATATGGACAAATATGACTATACCACTTGAGATGTCTTTTTCAAGAGTTGATTTCACTGCTGGAATTTCCAGCTCCTCCCTAATTCTCTCATTTCTTACATTGTCTCTACTGGTTTTTCCTGCAACCCTATGTAAGTACTTCCTTTCAGCTACTGTGATTCTGCTTATCTGCTTGTCCATCATGACCCAGCTCTGCCAGGTTTAATCCATAGATAAAAGTAGGAAGTTATTTTGATTTGTAAATATAAAGCTTGGTTTTGTGCCCCACATCTCGATGACCAACAATGCCATTGCAAATACTATAATACATTCGGTTAGCTTTAGCAATTCTATTTACTATTTTCCAATCTATTTTGCTTGCTCTGTTTATTCATGTTTAAGAACCTCACTATTACAGTCCACCTTCACTGTCACCTGTTCGCCTTGGGAAAGGACCAGCACCTTATTCTTACTACAGGCATTGGTGAGCATCCCTTTTCGCTTAAGTTTCTCCTGCCATCCCAATAAAGCTTGCTGCATTTTCTCTTTTGCATCACAAATGAGGACGATATCATCTGCTTATTTGAGAGACTGAGTATCTACCTTGTGTTCCACTTACCGATGACTGTTCGAGATGTTTGCTTTTTACAAATTGTATGGATTTCATCCACAAAACACATTAAATGATAATGGATTCAGACTTTGATTCATCTATCAACTGGAAAAGGAACAGGCTCTATTCCATTGATCCTTACTACTCCTTTTATGGTGGCAATGATATTTTTGTGGATTGGAATAATCGTGCTGTATTCCCAATCTTTCGTAATTTTCATACAGTCTGAAATATCCCTTGCAGCTTTAATAAGCTCATGTCCGCCATATCTTAAGTACTTGGGGACAATGTTCTGGATTTGGGCAATCAATATCACTCTACATTGCTGTAATGGTATTTTATTCTTTTTCTTGCAAGGTAGGACAAAAGATGTTTTAATACCTTTAAATTCTCGAATGGCTAGCTCGTTTCCTTTGTCCAAGTCTTTCATCTTATTAGTGATCAGAAACATGTCTTGATTATTCCAGAGCATGTAGTGTTTAGAAATTTGAATTTGCTCTTTTTATTAGGTCCAGAATTCTTCTAAAAATGAAAGAAAATACACTACACTTGAGCAAAAAAAAATTCATAGTTCTGAAGAAATTTGAACTTAACCAACCTTTAAGGTCGGAGCTGTGTAATCTGATCCAGTTAAGGAATGGAAAATTTGTCATTGCTCATGACAGCATTGTACCCTTTTTTTCATTAAAAAAATTGTTAGAACTTTTTTAAAGAACTACTAATTTCATTCCAGACCTTAATATCTGCGTTAATGTTATTTATAATTTTCAATTGAATGATGTGAACATTAGTATCTGGAAGACATGTGTATAGGAGTGGAGCAGCTACTCTTCCTTCCAACAGGGGAAAAAGTTAAAATTTAATAACAATAAATATTAACAAAGAGCATCTGGAAAACAGTTATCATCCACAGTTGATAGTATTTCAATATTTTAAAAGAAACTAATAACGAAATAAAAACTACTTCCCCTGCCCTCTTTTTAAAAATAATTTTCCCTTACTTCTGTTTAGACTTGGCCATATCCTTGAGGGAAGATATGACATCGCTCTCACATGAGATACGATTGAGTGGAAAAACCATTCTGCTGTCTGTCAGAGGTGTACTTCAAGGTCAAAATAATTGATAGGTCAGGAATCACAAATATACTTAGTGATGCTGTTATTTTAGCTTCAGTCGCAATAAATGATTTTTAGTGGGGCTCTTATCTTATCTTACACTAGATTCTGGAAAATATACCCAACGATCAGATCAGTATTGCATTAAAAGTCAATATTATAATCTATTTTTAAAGACAAATGAGGTGGATATAAAATATATTTACAGCAATCAATTTCATTTTTTTAGAAAAATATAACAAAATCATAATTAGCATTTGTCATTGTCATTGATAGTTCAATACAAAATTTTATCTATCCATACCTTGAGATTAAACCAAAAACATGTAAAAATATACATGGAGCGCAGCCCCTTCCATTGTGGACAGTGTTGGGCAAAATTTATCTTAAATAGTAAATAATTGATAACGAATGATTTATTCTTATTTTCAACTACGAATATTTCTGTTTATCTTTTATCAAAAAGATAAATAAATTCAAGCTATCTATTATCTTTTCATCTGTTATTCGAGTTTTTCAAATAAATTTGGAATAATTTAAGGGTAAATACATTTTGCTTCGGTATAAGAGTCTATACATTTTTGGAGCCATAGTTTTTTTTAATTATCTCTTACGTCACTGCGTTTTGGCTTATTCGAGTTTATTTCATTTCTTTGATATAAGGGTTTATTAATATATTTTCAGAACCACAGATTTTAAATGGATCTCCAGTTAAAGATTACGTCACAGAGTTTTGACTTATTTGAATTTTTTGGATTTCTTCGAT